AAGATGACTTAACTTCTTTTCATCAGATATTGATTTAAAAAATGACAATACCTTCAGAATGCACAAAATTAGAAAGGTACAATACAGTGAAGAACCAGTCACCTCCTTCCTCTATCCTTCAGTCATCTAGTTTCTATCCCCAGAGGCAACCATTATTAAGTCTAATATATTTATTTGCTGATGATGACTTTTAAATGGCAACCTCTCATTTAAAGAGAAAAAAAAAGAGTTCCACCTCATGGGGCACTCTAATAAACTTAGATAAACAAACATCCCAATATCCATTATTTCTCTATAAAAAAATCCCTGACTTACTTTGGTCTTATTACCCACAATTTTTTTTTATTTTGGCATCATTAATCTACAGTTACATGAGGAACATTAGGTTTACTAGGTTCCCCCCTTCACCAAGTCCCCCCCACAACCCCCATTACCATCACTGTCCATCAGCATAGTAAGATGCTGTAGAATCACTACTTGTCTTCTGTGTTGCACAGCCCTCCCCGTGCCTACCCCCACATTATACATGCTAATTGTAATACCTCCTTTCTTCCTCCCCCATATCCCTCCCTTCCCACCCATCCTTCCCAGTCCCCTTTCCTTTGGTAACTGTTAGTCCATTAGTCCATTCTTGATTACCCACAATTTTTAAATGAGATCACATTTACTTAATAGCCCAAACTGAAATGTTCAAGCCCTCAGCCTTGAAGGCTGCCAAACGTCAGTTCCCTCCTCTAGCATTCTTCCCCCTTGGTGTGGATTACTTCCTGGGGTCTACCTACTGAGCACACAGTGGGACAGGAATTATGTCTAAGGAGGTCCAATACCCAAAGCCACAAGGACAACTCCATCTGGGTGAATTAAAAAGGGCCAGAGGATTGGGTTTTAGTTGTGAATTCACAGACCATGTTTTTTGGTAAAAACAGCGAGAGCCACCATAATTGCAAACACACTTGAGTGTGTATTGGGCCAGGCACTGTCCTAAGATCTCATATGCATAATTATGTTGAAACCTTACAATGACCCTATGAGTTTGGTACCACTAATAAGCATTCCTACCGCATAAATGAGTAAGGCAGAGGTTAAGTCATTAGTTTCAGATCACCAGATAGAAAGGGGAAATTGGGATTTGAATTCTGACCATGTGATCATAGAACCCAGACTCTTAACCACAAGAGGACCCCATCAGATGGTAAGCCCTATGCAAGCAGGGACTTTCTCTGAGGGCCCAGCACACCACCTGGCACAGAGCAGAAGCTTAACAACTATTCATGGACTTAAATGCTCACTTCTTAAGACCATATGTTGAGGGTAGGAAAGGATGGTTAGTATCCTTCCCCAGCAACTTCCAGCAGGCTTGTGTCTTCTGCTTGGGGCCCACCCTCCAGAATCTAAACCCAAGGGAAGGAGGCCAAATTAGGGGCGTGGAGGGCCCCATAGGGTTGGAACCAGAGGACCACACTGGCTCAGAGGGACCTCTCTCTTTGCCCCTGTGAGACCTGATGTACCGAGCCTGCCCACAAGAGCTAGGCCCTTCATTCTGCAACTCTGACCCTGGACTGTGCTGGGCACATTTTTGCCAGGTTTGATCTAGAACCTCTTTGCTCCACCTCTTCTGCTGAAAAATTTCTTTTAGATGCATTAATATCTGAGTTAGCTGTTTCATTTACTGCTGTGGTTATAGTACCTAGAACAGTACCTCGGACACAGTGCCCCTTATTAGTTGAATGAATCAAAGAACAGTTAAGCTAAGCACCTGATCCTGGACAGGTGGCACTTCTAGGGAACAGGCTTCAGAAAGTGCATCATGTCTCATGGGGTTTGAATGAGCTACAACACAGGGGAGGAGCTGGGTGCTCACTGTTGTCTGGCTAGTGAGAGGAGGGCTTCTGGCAAGGGACGTTAATTATTTTAGGAATTAAGAGCCCACATGTATCTCAATCACCCTGTTTCACGATTCACAGGGATGAACTGCTGTAGTTGTACATATGGCACGTTTCCCTCATTTGAGTTTTGGTTGAAAAACGGTTCTGTCAAGTGACAGTAAAAATTCAAGAAAAATAGTCATTACACAGTGTCAGGTTCAATCAGACATGAATCAGTGAGAATGAATACACATGGATAAACCCTGAAATAGAAACACGTAATTTAACTCTGCCACAGACACTAGGGCTCCAGAATGTGTCTCACCCCCCAAGTGCTGAACAAAGCAGGGGGCTGTAACTGAGTCATAGCTATTTTAATCCCTTTGTACAAAAGATGTAGACAGAGCACAGGACTGGACAGGTCACTAATCAGAAATATGTATCTGCTGATGGATGAGAATTTGAATGTGTTTTTCTTATTTCTTCCGCATAGGCCCAGAGTAAAATCCTTAACTACTGAGCTCACTCTTGAGAATATACTGGTATCTGGTGTTTTGAATTCTGTTTGCATTAAGTCCAATGCCAGGACAGGGCAGAAGATCACATCTGGGAGAATTTTACGGTGCACCCATGGAACATACACTGGGAGCAGAGGAAGGTTTACCAGCCAATGTTGCCTATGCCAGTGGTCACAGCAGGCTAAGTGCCTTGAGGACAAGTGCCTGCAGGCCACATGGCTTCTCACTGGGTGGTGCACTCCTCAGCAACTGCTGTTCTGAGTACCACATGTTGATCTAACCCCAACCCATGTCATGCCCACTGCAGCCACACGGTCTCTCAGATCCACCTGCACCCAGGGAGTGTGGCTCAGGCATGAAGCTCCCGGTGGTGCCAGTGTCTTTACTCACAGCTGCACACTGAGGCCAGTCTCTGCTCCCCCATAAGTATGTGTCACACACAGAGGAAGGCAGGCAAAGGTGGGTACTGGTGTTCCTTCCTGCTACCCAATCCCAGCCTCTCATGGCCCTCTCATGTATTCCAGTAGCTCTGGATCTGACCAGTCCTGAGGCTTACTTCCCAAGCCAGTTTTCAGGAAGGCAGCTGTGTTGCTCTGTGGTTCTCTGCAGGTTGGTGAGGGAAGGTGGCACCCGTGGTGCCAGCTTAAGCAGCAACCATGATAAGTGTGTTAACAGACTTAATCCTTTGTCTTGAACCAGAACAGCTCAATTCAAAGACACAGGAAGGGGCTGAACATCAAAACATGGCATTTCTTCATATCACTTTTACCCTAAAAGAAGTTCATGAGTCAATTTTATGGGTGTAGGGAGACCACAGAGCCAAACTAATTTTAATGCAATTTTAAACCAAAAATAAATCAGGTAAAGAATTCTGAATTAGGAATCATATCAGTATGGGAAAAGCAGCACTCATTCTAACACAAACCCAAAGACCTACTGTTATACTAAGCACCTTAACAGCATTAACTCAGAACTTGGGAAATTACAGAATGTTTAAAGAATGTAAGTATAATTCTATAAACTACTACTTGAGTTCTTTGAGCCTCCTGATTTTTCTTTTACCATACCTCATTTCTTTAATCACCTAAGCCATCTTTTAACTCAATAATCACCTCATACCTCTTTGGTTTGGGCTGTGGTTTCTTCCAGAGGCTTGAAGCAATGAGATAAATTGGCTGTTTCATTTCAGAAGTAGACCTTCTTAAGTGCATGGAGCCAGAAAGTAGAGTCTAAGCCCCACTTTTCACTGTCTTATCACTCTCAACTAAGCAGCCTTGGTGTTCTAAGGCCCCTTGGGGAGGAAGAGCCAGAACAATGGACAAGGCTCAGGGCAGGGAGGGGAGGACAGGCTCTGCAGAACATTCTCCAGAGGGAGTAGAGCTATAGCCATCACCATTTCTTCTCCATGGCCATGGCCATGGGCCAAGCCTATGGAGGGAAATCGGCACAACCAACCACTGTCTCCAGAAGCAAAACTCTTCTGCTCTCTAGAAACATGCTGTGTACATTTTTTCCTATGTCGCACAAAACCCCTCACCAGCTTTGAAAAAAACCACCAGTGAGGGTGCAGTCATTGGCAGAAGCCCAAGGAGATGACTGAACACGGGTTCTCCTGCAGGGTGCTGCTGGTCCTCTCCTTACAGCCTGACATGCGCTTTCTATTGTCACAGGAGACTCTTTGAGGAGCCCGCTGTTGCCAACTGGGGGCACACCCAGCTCTAGCTGACACCCCCACGCCCATGTGGGTATCCTCCCTGAGGCTCTTTCACCCCTTACAACTGGTGCCTGTCTGTACTCAGGAGGGCTCTCTCCCACTGCTGCCCCCAAGGTACTTTTCAGACCGCCAGCTCTGCACCTCCCCCGTGTGCTCTCTGGCTGAGGGAGGCAGGGCATGCACGCAGAGACCTAGGGAGGGGTGTGGATGCCACCCAGGCAGAGACGGGGGCCTGAGCCAGCCTCATCATCATCTCTGCGTACACCGGTAGTCCCCATCTCAGCAGGCCCCAAACTACGGTAAAGCTTCTACAGGCCATGAAGAATGGGTTTGACTCTTGTCACAAGGGAGAGTCCCTCCATGGGGTTGGAAGTAGACAAAACAACAGGGTGGCCAGGGGCATCTGTAAAAGATGTTTCAGAGCAGCCTGGGCTTCACTATGGTTTCAGCCCTGGTACAAATCCTAGATGGTGCCATTTGTTTAGCCAGTTTCTCCAGTTATGTTCCAATGCTAGCTTTCTTGGTTTCTACAGCTTCTTGGCTTCCAGAAGTAAAACCAAAAAAAAAAAAACCAAACAAAAAACAAAACCCAATAGACACTCCAAATCCTTTAAACTGAACAAATAAATAATAAGAATATTTACATGAGTATGTCACATTGCTTTCCAGCATGACCTGATGAACGGAAAAACCTGGAAAGTGCCCTTGCCCTGGCTCGTGGTCATCAGGGTGAGCTACCCCTGGGAGCTGATGGATGGAAGGGTGAGGTGGGAATGAGCAAAAATGCCTAGTTGGGGCCTCCCTCTAAGTCCAGGAAGGCAGAATGGGCAGAAGGTGCTGCGCTGTCCGTAGATCAATTAGGTTTCAAACAGACAGACAAACCTCAGTTCTCCCAACCAGGCGCTGCAGAGAGATCAGGTTACTGGATGAACAGCTCCCGGGGACGCTGGAGGCCTTCTCTGACTGCCATCATGCTGGCATGATGGCAACATTAGAGTCTCTGTCCCAGGGAATACAAAGCTCTTGAGTCAGCTGCTGGCCTTGAACCCCTTTCCAGACAGGACCAAGAGCCGAGGTCAGGAATGGTGCCCTCTTCCCTGAACTACGTGACAAGAGGGATGTGGAACTCGTTTGTATCGAAGATCAGGGGCCTCCTGGGAGGGCTTGGGTCCCTATCGGCCTTGTGGAGCAGCTTGAACAGCCCAGTCCCAATGTTCATGGGGATCCCCATGATGATGCACTCGGACACCCCTGAAACCAACCAGAAAGGAGATTAGAGAGCTTCACAACACACGGTCGGGTTTTTAGGACAGTGACTGCTGACTTAGGAGTTAGAAACTGCGATTTGAGTTCTAGCTCCCACAAACTTCAGCTGGTCAAAGTGGGGATGGAGGCCTTCCGCCTCATCTATCACATGGAGGTGACTGCTCCTAGGTGGGCAGAGGGAGCTCCCATACCTGGCGGGGAGGGCGGTGCCTGCCCCCAGCTCAGCTGGCTGGAGACTGAGCCCAGTTTTCTCCATGTGAGCCAAAGGCACTCTAGGTATCGCCTTGGCTAGGGCTGCATGTAGACAGTAAGGATTTGGAATGATGCTTAGGAAACCCAACTGTGCCACCTGGGGTTTCCTTAACTTAGGGCCTATAAAAAAAGCAAACCACAAGGGTGACTGTACCAGGCCGCATGGAAGGCTCCGGGGCAAGCACCCCTGTGGCAGGGTTCGCCACTGGGTCTTGTTCTATTGTAAGAAGATGCAAATCCCCCTGCAAAGAGCAGCAGCAACTTGTTCCCTGTGCTCAGGTGTCGGGGCTAGAAGACTCCTGAGCCTTGGAGATCCACAGCTCTAACTGGAGACACACAGAAGGCAGGGTTGCTTATAGACTGACAGGGGCCACGTGAGGATGCAGACTCTCCAAGTTCCACTTCAGCTTTGTGAGACCCAAAGATTAGGCTTTGCACCAGACTTCTGGTTCTATAACAAATGTGTACGTACTATATTCTGGGCTTTGTGCTTGTTGAAGCAAACCACCAAACTCAACTGGCCCACAGTGAGGGCCGACACAGAGGACCAGGAGGGGAAGATTTCAAAGTGGCATGGGGTGACTGTGCCAGGCCGCATGGAAGGCCCCGGGGCAAGCACCCCTGTGGCAGGGTTGGCCACTGGGTCTTGTTCTATTGTCCAGCAGGATTATTTGCCAAGCTCTTACTTTTGCTTTGGCCTCCTGTCTCCTGTCTCAGCTCTGCCACTTGTCTTTCCTCTCACCCTTCATTACCTTAAACATGTGTAATTTCTCCTTTCCTCTATCTGCAACCTGTGTTTCTTTTAAAAGGATAAAGTTGGCCTTAGGAGCAGAAAATGGGTGTGTACTCTGACTGGGGCCCACCTGACTGTCACCTGTCTGGCAAATCCACGTAAGAGTAGGAAGGGAGACAAGAAATGGCCTCTGGGAAGCAGAGCTCTGGTGGTGGGGACTGTGGCTGGGCTTGGAATCCCTGGTTGAGCTGCTGAGTGTGTGAGCCTGGGAAGGCTCCTGAGCCTACCTGCCCCAGCCTCTCACAGGCTCCCACCGTGGGCCTGCAGGGTCTTGTCTCGGCAGGAGAATGGCTAGAGTGAAGTGGACACTCAGTGTAGGACTTGGAAGAGCCGGGTGGCAGCAGGCACCACTTATGACAGTTCCTCTCATGCTCCCTCTTTCCCAGACCCCCGTCAGAGATGAGCTATGTGGCAGGACATGAGGCCAGTACAGGTGGGCTCGACAGCAAGCAAGCTAGTTCCCTCCATCTTCTCCCTTGTGGAAGGGTTTAATACCTACACCTCATGCAGGTGCTGAGAGACCAGCATATAACAGGCCTGGCACAGGATTTTGACAAACATAAATGGCACACCAGCAGCCCTTCCTAGGGTCAGGATGGCAAGAGCACCTGGTGCTGCCCCTCCTGTCAGCCTTGGCATCACACAGAGGATGCAGAGTGGCCGACTACAACTCCAAGGGCCATAAAGTTCCTATGTGCCCAGGGCCAATCTTTCTTCTTGGACTCAAAGCTGTCTGTACTGGCAGAGAAACTATCTGTACTGCCTCGGGGGATGCGGAATGCCATAGTTAGTTCCAATTCTGTGACCTGTGACTTTATTCTTAAAACAAAAGCTCTGCCTACTTAGTTTCTTCCTGTCCCAAGAAGCCCCAACCATAGTCTAAGTCCTAAAGAAGAAAGGCCTTTGGTGGTACTCCTAGGAATAGCAAACCTACCACAGACGGAGTCCTTCTGCCCAAAGTAGGCAGCGTCAAACAGATGGTCAGCTGTCTTCTCAAACGAGGCCAGCATGAGCACACTCTCCTTCATCTTGGCCAGACCAAACCTAGTTATGCCCAGGACTTCACCCTGAGATGAGCGAGAAAGAGTCAGAATGGCACTAATGCCATGGACAAAAGCTCAAAACCAAACCACATCCACTGTGTCCTCTCAATGGAATAACCACAAATCAGGCACACAGCTGTTCATGTCACCGTCTCAGGTTTGAACAGGATCCTAACAGCTATCTGGCCCACCTATGTCCCACTGAGGCCCTTAGTCATTGACAACATGGATTCTGACACTCACAACCAGGTGTCGCTGGAAGAAAGAATTAAGAACTGAGAACTAGAATTAAGAATCTAACTTTAAAAAAAAGACTACTTCTGAAGATATTTATTATGGCTCAAAGAACTAAAACTCAACTTAAAAGCCTCACAGTAGGGACAAAGTTGAGTAAATTTGTGTGCATTCATTCAAAAGAACATTGCACCACCATCAAAAAAGGATACTTATAAAAATTATTGTATGTGGAAAATATAATGTTAAGTAAAAAATCAGGATAAAAACGGCACCCCCACTACTTACTGAAACTATGTAACATGATATAGACTAAGGCTGGAAGGGAAGAATTAAAAACGACAGCCTTTACAGTGTGGTAGAAAATGGGTTACTCCCCCTACCTAGTTCCCATAACATTGTGATATGGTTCAGGTTGTAGGGGAAGGATCACGAACACCTGCTGCCTCATGGCACTGCAAGAGGGAAGACATTTTGTGTGAAAAGAGAAAAAAAACCCAAATAACCAACCTGCATCCCTCAGCCTCCCAATTCAGATCCTGTCACCTTATCCTTTACCTGGAAATGGCCACAGACAAAGTGTGATTAATGGGTTTAATGGGGAAGGAACGTCCCAGTTTGCCACAGAAATCCCTGGGCTTTTGGCAATGGCCAGTTTTGCTTTATGATAGAATTCCTAAGAACATTCTGCCTAACACCATGAGGTTGCAATTTTCGTACTGGACTTGGACCAGAACATCCAACCAGAACCGCCCAGCTTCAGTTTTTAGGTGATGGTAACATGTTATTTTCTATCAACAGTGGTCAACACAGCTGCATAGTCTACATGTCTTAGAAGCTCAGTAGCTTTGTTCTCCAGAGACTGGGTCTCCCCCACGAACCTTGTAGGTCATCAGGTCAGAAAGCAGCATCACATGCCTCCTGTCGATGCTCATGCCGTGGTTCACCATCGTGTACTGGATTTCATTGATGATAGTTGTCCGGGCAGCTTCGATGCCCAGAGTTTTCTCCACCTGCAGAGAGCCAGGATGAGTGGAAGCAGCTGTGTCTGGGATGCTACTGTAACTTCTCTCTGTCCTCCCCTGCTCTGGAGGTTTACAGCAAATCCTGTGCCCAGAATTGGGATTTCTGAGCAATCTTTAACGTTAGACCCAGAGCAAATGGCAGAGCCAGAGAAGTGTGCCACGAAGCAGCTGAGGACCTGCTGGCAGTACTGAGAGAGGACGACTGTCGGGTGACCCTGGGGGTGAGCTGTACCTCGTATGTGTTATTGGAGGTGGTTCGGGTGCCCTTCACGCCGTGGGTGGCCATGACTGCCCGTAGGTTATCACCCTCCACCAGGAGCTTGTACTTCTCCTTTCCACTCTGCTCGTCGATGTGGATAACAGCTCTGGACACTTCTGGGATGCCTTGCACAACCACCTGGACCCAAAGACAGGAGGCTGGAGACCCCGCAGTGCCCATGGCTTCCCCCAACCCTGGAGCCTCAGAACCACAGTGGCCGGGAACTGGGAACATCACGCCCTGGGCTTGTCGCCTTGACCGTCCTGTTTCCCAATGGTGACTACCAGGAACATACTAAATCTAAAAGTGCCTGTCACTGTTTCAGGGGTCAGGGAGGAAATGGAAGTTCAAGGGACTGTGTCCCATTCTACCATCAGTTTTATGAAAGAATAGAGAGAAATCTAATAGGCAGAGCTGGTGAGGCTGTGCTCAGGGAAAAGAAAAAGAACTGATTCTTTGAGGATATGGCAAAGAAGAAATGGGGAGCCACCCTCAGTTCTCAGTGGTGACAAATTTCTTAGGGTTTCCTGATACCTGGGTATTCAAGTCAGAGGTAAATGTAGTCTCTGTCTTTACAAATCTCCAGGCATTAGGCTGGGTGGTGCCCAAAGAGGTGCCTGTGCTCTCACCTTGGGGAGATCCTCTTTCAGGAACTGGAGCACATAGTACATGGAGCTTTTGCTGTTCTCTCTGGGGGTGACACACACCACGGCCTCGCCGTGAACGGCCACATCCCCGGGCTTCACACGGAGCTTGGACATGCAGATGGAATATCGCACCGTCTCAGCGTTCACCTGCAAGGCGGGCCGGCCGTGGGCCACACACCCAGGACATTACTCATGGGTTTGGAGGCTTCCAATTCAGTGTTTTTCAGCCTTTTTTTGTTTTTGTTTTTTACCATTGCCCCTCTAAGCAGCTTTATTTTTTAGTTACTTCACCCCCTCATTAATCTCTCTTTACCAGGAACATACTAAATCTAAAAGTGCCTGTCACTGTTTCAGGGGTCAGGGAGGAAATGGAAGTTCAAGGGACTGTGTCCCATTCTACCATCAGTTTTATGAAAGAATAGAGAGAAATCTAATAGGCAGAGCTGGTGAGGCTGTGCTCAGGGAAAAGAAAAAGAACTGATTCTTTGAGGATATGGCAAAGAAGAAATGGGGAGCCACCCTCAGTTCTCAGTGGTGACAAATTTCTTAGGGTTTCCTGATACCTGGGTATTCAAGTCAGAGGTAAATGTAGTCTCTGTCTTTACAAATCTCCAGGCATTAGGCTGGGTGGTGCCCAAAGAGGTGCCTGTGCTCTCACCTTGGGGAGATCCTCTTTCAGGAACTGGAGCACATAGTACATGGAGCTTTTGCTGTTCTCTCTGGGGGTGACACACACCACGGCCTCGCCGTGAACGGCCACATCCCCGGGCTTCACACGGAGCTTGGACATGCAGATGGAATATCGCACCGTCTCAGCATTCACCTGCAAGGCGGGCCGGCCGTGGGCCACACACCCAGGACATTACTCATGGGTTTGGAGGCTTCCAATTCAGTGTTTTTCAGCCTTTTTTTGTTTTTGTTTTTTACCATTGCCCCTCTAAGCAGCTTTATTTTTTAGTTACTTCACCCCCTCATTAATCTCTCTTCTTACCATGAAATTTGAATATCAGACATATTGTGTATTCATGTACTGTACATATATCTGTGCTTCACTCATAAAAGATTAGATATTTCCCCACGACCCTTCTCCAACGAACCAATTTCTGCCTCACTGGAAATGCATGCTCACTTCAGAGCAGCCCACACAGGCCCTGAGGGAGTTCCGGGAGGCAGGAGGTTGGAGACCAGGACAGTTAAAAGTGTCCATAAGGCCTCCCCTTACCTGTCCTCACCATGCCTGCCAGGGTGCTATACCCCAGCTCTTCTGGTAAAAGAGCTGCAAGGCAGGTGGCCATAGCCAGGCTAGAGCAATCGACAACCTGGAGAACTGGTGCCCGATTTTGGAATCAACAGTCATAAATGGGCAGACAACACATGAACTTGGTACTTGCAAGAATGAGCTGACAATGTGTTAAGGCTGGTGTAGATTTTACCTGCCTAAGAGAAAGAGGAAGATGGCGGAAGTTACCCAATTTGCAACCCTGCCTCATTCAGTTGTTACTGTACAGAAACACCAATAATAGTAAGCTGGTCAACCCACCCATCCAAAGACATCTGCTGAGCCAGCCAGGCACTGTGCTGGGGGCCCTCAGATGGGATGGGCAAGATACAGCGGGCCCTACAGTTCTGGACACTGTACTACTGTGCCACAGTGACGGCTACTGTGGCCCACACGACATTAAAACTAATGTCCCAAGTGTCTTTAGATGGCAATGTTTGTGTCAGGGTCAGGTTTACAAAGAGAGGATTTAGGTTTAGGACAGGAGACTCCACAGTGCTTCCTGAGCTCGCTTAGCTCTTGCTCTAGTTTATTAGTGCCTGTCTGGGGACTAACAGAGAATGACTTCCTCCACACATTTAATTACGTGACTCACTTCCAGTCTCAGAAGTCTGATCCGTTCCAGGGAGAGCTTGACGAGAATAAAGCAATCATCAGGAAGAAACACTTCTTCAATATACTCTGAAATCTGCAGTGTCAAAGATCAGAGCTTATTAGTCACTTTCCCCTTGCCTAAGAGCCTACGCTGCTGGAGTTTTTCTTTTAAGGACACAGACTTTTAAGGATCCATCATCGTTTATGTTGCTGTCTTTCACGTGGCCTGTGGCCATAACAAGCCACTACTTCAATTTGACTGTGCCCACTGGATACACTAACTGGTAAATCCACTGCAACACCTCCTTGCAACACTGCTGATCCGTCTTGTTGTCAAGAGGGACTTTTTACCTCTCCCAAGAGGGTTTTCTCAATTCTCCCTTTCACCAGGCGAGCGTAATCTGCATCGTCATCCTTGTCTAGCTGTGCTGTGATGATTGGAGTGCTATGTACAGTAAAGGGAAAACGATTTCAGCACAAGGAATGAGCCTGTTTCAAGACCACTGCGTTGCTAAACCTGGGTACTATTTAGAATTGTACCGTTAAAAGCACTGGTAATTTATTGAGTGTTTACTGATGTCAGGCATGCTACTGAGGGCTTCACAGACATTCCTACTGAGATTGACTATTTCTAAAGCTCATGAGATAACTACTCTATCAGTGAATGAAGTGACTTCCAGAAATTTCTTCCTGCCCAGGTGAAGCTACCTCTTCCTCTGGTCCTAATAAGTGGTTATTTCAGTTCTGTTCCCTGAGTAAGTTGACCCTTTGTGTATTACAGCTTCTTCCACTCCTCTCTTCCACCCCCATTACCTCTTTGCCAGGACACCCCCAGCTCCTCCAATTACTCACTATCAGCTTCTGTCCTCACTGTTGCTGAATACATGCCCCTGGGAGAGATGTGACCACCCCAGAGGAGGTGGGCAGAGCTCCTACGACCCTGGACATCTACAGTTGCTGTTCTAGAATCAAGTGCAGGTTGCTTCCATTAAGGCTTCTGTCACCATTTTGTTAGATTATTGGTGAATCATGGTTTTGTAATAGAATACATTGTAATGTATTTCTTTTCTAGTCTCAGATCACCTACAAATCCTATCATAAGATCACCTGGGAATCACAGAATATGAACACAGCCCCAGTGGTAGACTCACCAGTCAGGCCTAGTTAGGCAGGGCATAACATCAAAAATTTGAAATACATACTGACACACTGTTTAACATTCCCTTCATCATTTATGTTGCTGTCTTTCACGTGGCCTGTGGCCATAAAGAACCACTACTGCAATTTGACTGTGCCCAGTTTCCACTTATTTTTTTCCTTGAGTGGTTTACAAAACCAGTAAGATTAACATAAATACATCACCCAGAGTGTGAAGTCCTGCCAACTAGAGCATCACATGTAACTAGAGTACCACTGTTTCTCAAGAAACATGACAGGCAGTCTGAGAATCAAAGGCAAACAGAGATAGGGCACCTGATAGCCTTGGAAGCATTGATGATCTCTTTGATTCGGGGCACACCAAGGGTGATGTTCATAGAGGCTACACCTGCAAAATGGAAAGTCTTCAGGGTCATTTGGGTGCCTGGCTCCCCAATGCTCTGGGCACAGAGTGCACCCACTGCAGAACCTGGCTCCATCTGTGCCCTGGAAGAAAGGATACACATGACAAGTCCAGCAACAGCTGGGGAGAGGCTTCTGATTATCTTCTTTCAACAGAAAAAATACATATGCTTTTAGGGACAGGGAGGAATTGGCCACAAGCCCAGCTGTGCTTGTGACAGAGGAAGGATGTGGCACCATCAGCATTAGATGCAGACGGGGGAATGCGATGCTCAGAGGGGTCTGATAATGACAATGAACACAAGTGTGGCTACTTGTGGTCAGTGTGTTATGGCTGAGCCCACACGTCTACTGCCTGGATGATCAAAGAGCTCTGCTAAGAAATGGTACTGCAGGCAGGCAGAGAAGTGGGCACCTGCCAGATATACTGATAGCTTCTCTGTGGGGAAAAGACACTTGGAAATTTCTTTGCAATTATTTCCACATCTTGGAGAATGCAGCCTAGCTGCCCACAGGAACCTCTAGATAAGAGGTGATGGAACCTGCTCAAATACTGGCAGTGAGTGAGTAGGGCTGGGAGGGACTTGTACCTGAGAGATGAGGGGAGGCACATGAGAGGCCCATGTGACAGCCCACTGGCTAAGGGAATTAGCATCCCTACCTCATATACTTGTCCCTACAGGTCTCCAGGAACTTTTCTATTTGGGTGGGGGTGATCCGGTCCAACTGGTACAACACTCGGGGCTGGGAGAACAAAAGCCAAGCGCAGTTAGGGCCAGCAGCACCTGAAAACACCCCGTGTCCGGACATGTCTGGGAGGCCATTACCTCTGTTGTGCCGTTATCATTGATGCCGTACTTATCTCTGGTTTTCTTTATCTTCTCTGAAACCCCTTTAATGAATTTTTTTATTTCCTGAAAGATTACACAGCAAGCATCAGTTGTTTATTTCTCAGTAATTTGGATGACAGCACTTGTTTTATAAACTTCAGTAATATGATGAGTCCATCATAGTTTAGTGATAGCTAAACACAAACTATAAACTATATATAAATAGTTCTACTACAAAGTGTTTCCCTAGGACTACACTAGACCATCTACACCCTGCAAACATCACTCACTGGTCTGCGTGTTTCTAAGGCTTTTTAACTCCAACAGTGCTTTAGCAAGAGCGCATACCAGCCCCTCCTGGCCCTGCTATAGACAACCCCTACCCAGCACGTGGGGGCCCCACCAGGCTAACTCCTTATATCTGCTTGCCGCTGTTTCTCTTCTGCTCTCCAGGCCTACCATGGTGCCTACAGTCACACAGCTCACAACAGCTGTAACTGAACCATTTATATGTTTAGTCTCCAGATCTATTTTGAGAGTTTATTTTGAAGTTATGATCAGTTTAAATACAAGCTCAAGCACAGCTCTGTAGACACTACATAGGTTTCAAACATGCCTTCAGCTTGCCTTCACTTCCAAGGCAACACTCCCCAAGCCTTGCTTCTCTCTCTCTGACCCTCACCTCTGTATCACAACACCCCCGCCTCCTCTCACTCTCCCTTCCCAAAACACAATCTGTAAGGATTCCTGAAAACCACTCTCAAAGCTAGGAATGAAACACCAATATATCTGCTATTCCCACTGTATGTAAGAACAGCACCTCAAGCCCTGGGGTGATGAAAAAATGGAACAAAGAAGGTCAGGAGTACTTCACGGGGAGGATCCACAGGGCAGGGTTAGAGGCTATGGATCTAAGTTTCCTGGTACCAAAAGGGGAAACCCACCTGCTTTACTATTTATAGTATCTGTGAAGTAAACCCAGCCTTGAGGTCACTCCTAGAACCAGGTTTGACCTCCCGAGGAGTTCTTTCAGAGGCTGTGGTGTGCCTCAATGAGCTATGCCTATCAAAGTCCTGCTCCCAGGCAGCTGCACATCACGTGCTGTGGGCCTGACTCAGAGCACTTCGTGGGTGAGCTGAGCTGTGGCTCATGCCATGCAGTAGCGGCAATCCTTTAGAGACGCTGTAATGCAGTCCTTGGGACTGGCAATCAGCTCCTCTGGGTTGATCCAGGGGGGTTTTGAGAATATGGGAAAGAATGGATAGACTATACTTCCTCTCAGCACCCCTCCAGGAATATCATTTCCCTCAATTTTGGACAAACCAGGGTGGCAGTGAGCTTGACTGGCACTCTGGCCAACTGCAGGCATTCAGCTGCTCTGTGTGGTTGGCAGAGGAGAGATCCACACACATGGACGGCCCAAGGGTGGGCTGTGTATTGTGGTGGTGCAAACCTCATGCAGTCTTGTTTCTTGACTCCAAGGCAGGCTGAGACCCCAAGGAGGAGAGCAGCATGCTCTGCCCAAGTCTACTCAGCCTATATCACACAGCTGAAAATGCCTGTGTTTTGTCTAAAACAAATGTTTTAAAGCAGATTGAACCAGAAGCTCACTTTTGCAAAAGTAAAATCCTATCAGACTCCCACAGAGAGCTTCACACTTAACAGCACTGTTCTATCCTAAGCTTACCAAATTAAATCTCTTCAGTCTCCTATAGCCCACCTTGCAATTTCTAGTTATTATGTGTTCTGATAGAAAAACATTAAAACTTTATGTTCTTATGTTTAAATAGCCTTAGCATCTTGTATCTACACAGTCCATGGCGCACAGGCCCTTCCCAGTTAGCCACTGCCTAGCTCTGCGGGACCTCCCTGTGATGGGCACAGCATGGCATTAGCCTCATCACTCTAGAGCAGAGGGCACCGAGGAGCTCAACGAGACTGGGGCTTGGTGACAAGCCTTCCCATGAAGTCACATCTTTATCCAAAGACTGCTCT